CCATGCGTGATACACACTTAGGCGATCATGTATCTTTCGATACATGACTGACGCGACAGATTTTTTTTTCCCGCAGAAATTTGCCATTTCTTTCTGCGGTAGACCAGTTACCATCCAAGGCTAGAGAACCTGGTCTGTCTTGCTATTTACCCATAGATGAGGGAAGAACAGGATTCATACCTATCCTAATGGTATTAGCACGTAAGTGAATGTAATGGACTTCACTGGAATTCGAACTCGGCTCTTCCTTTTTTCACACAAGCACATTTAAATATACATTTGAATATAAATTAAAAGAAGAATAATTTATTAATTAATTTAATATTGAAAAAAATATTTATATTTAAAAAGCAAGAGAAACGAAGCACATAACTTCCATGTCTAACTCAGATCTTCGCCATTTTTTTTATTTTAAACTGGGTGCTAAGTTTCTTAATCTTTAAGGAGTGTATCAAGACAATTATTAAATGTAACTGTCTTCTTTAACAAAGCACATCAAGCACAAGTTTCACTCAAGTAGACGTAAATATACGAATGTAATGTCTTAAAATTAAATGCTTATTTCAAAAGACTTCTTTAATATTTTTCTATATTTAAATTTTATGACTAATGTTCTCCTTCTTAAAATTTAAAGTGTGCCTCAGAATTTTAGCTGTTCTTCAAGGTCGCCCTGAAGTAAAAAGAAAGACTTGAGAAACTCTGTTGTAGACTGACTGCAATATAAAAAAAAAAAAAAACAACTTCATAAATAGGATAACCGGTAAAGCTATCCTAACAATTAACAATTAGACTGACTATTCTGAATAAACCTCTTCTGTTTTGCACGAGACAAGTAACTTTTTTTATGATCTCTAAAGCAACATATTCACACGGACTGCCTGCGTATCAATGGGTTCGCCTCTCGGACCTAATTTTTCTAATTTCTACATGCCACATGTAGAAAACAGTTTTTAATACTTTTTCAAGTAGTGCGCTCTGAAACGTTGCCAGGTGCGCTCAAAGAAGAATAATTTATTAATCTGATATTGAAAAAAAAGCAAGAGACACCAAGAACACGGCTTCTATGTCTAAGTCAGATCTTCGCCATTTGTTATTTTAAACTGGATGCTAAGTTTCTTGATCTTTAAGGGGTGTATCAAGACAATTATTAAATGTAACTGTCTTCTTTACCAAAGCACATCAATCACAAGTTTCACTCAAGTAGACGTAAATATACAAATGTAATGTCTTAAAAATAAATGCTTATTTCAGGAGACTTCTTTATTATATTCCAATTTTCAAATTTCATGACCAATTTTTTCCTTATTAAATTTTAAAAGAGTTTTAGCCATACTTCAAAGTCGCCCTGAAGTAAAAAGAAAAAGAAAAAAACGGCGAGAAACACTGGTCTCGCTTAACACAATTTATCGACTTTCTTATCAGGAGGTTTAAGAATGGATTCAGTGTAGACTTTCCTCTTCATATCAACCGAGAATGTTAGACGGAGATGGACTCGCTCTCCGGGAGGTGAGCATCAACTATACTTATGGGAGACAAGAATTTTTATTTGTGTCAGTGATTGTGCGCATGCGTACTCGAAATATAACACGTCCACCATCTGATACAGTATTCCCGCTTGCAGTGTTGTTATGCACGGAGCTTGTCAACAGAATCTACAAAACAAAATGGTATTTGCCAAAATGAAACCGCGACAAGATGGCACCAAGTTTGATGCGGACAGAGGAAGCGATTTGTTCCAAGAACCTGTGACACTCTTCGGAAACAATTGGCACGGGATTTGGCGGGAGAATAGTCACATTTTAATATCTGTAAGTCTCGCTAAAACAATTACAACTGAATATTGAGTTCGCTCCTCACTGAGTGCTCCGTACTTTCGGCCTTGTGTTATATCGAAGCGACATTTAGAAAATCTTCCCTTTCGCCCCTGTGCAACATGTATGCACACCATTTTTTTTTAAATTTTTGTTTTTATAAAGAGGTTCACCCTTTATATGGCTCGGGGGCCACTCGAGGTAGATAGTTACGTTACGAGACCATTTGTTTATATAGGATGCAAGATAATGGTTGTCCCTAGCCTTGAAAAGGTTAAGATTGTAGTGATCAGGTAAACAGCTTAGGAGTTAATTCCACAGGGTAGTGGTTCATGAGAAGAAGCTTTTCGAGTGGAACTTACTTCTCACCGATAGAATACAGAAGGAATGTAGGTGATTTGTTACTATGTAAGTGGCATGGCGTGCTCTTGCTGTGAAGGTCTGGCATGGCGGGACCAAGGAATGTATTTCGCCCGAGCACTGTGGAAGTAGCGACAGAACAGTGAGAAGCTTGATACGTCCTACCTGTAAATGAAGTTCGCGGAAAAGTTCGGCACCCATAAGGGCTTTGAGACGCATTTGAACACGATGAAGGTTGAAGAGTGAGGTTTGCACAGCTACCGTCCAAATATAGTACCCCATTCTTGGACTTATCTGTCTCTAGTAAAAGTAAAAGATACCAGGAGGAGCCGGGTACTTACTGGAACTGAACAGAGAACCTACCATTTTATTTGCATCCTTAGCAATGGACCGTGGGAAGAAGCTGTTGGAGTAGAACTTACTTCTCACCGATGGGAATACGGGGGGAATGTGGGTGGTTTGATACTATGTAAGCGGAATGGCGTGTGAAGGTTTGACTCGGTGAAACCAGAGAATGTAGTTCGTTCGAGCACCTTCCGTGGAAATAACGGTAAAACAGCGAGAGTCTTGCCACATCCCGCTTGTGGCTGAGAGGTTGTAGGATGGAGAATAATCCGTCACCATACCCACAAGGTCTTGGAGACGCTTTTGAACTCTATCAAAGCGGGCGACTTACGGTCAAATCACACTGAAACACCGGTTCTCGTTCGATCACCGAAGTTAAGCATCGTAGAGCCAGGTCAGTACTTAGATGGGGACCGCTTGGGAACACCTGGTACTGTAAGCCCCAAAGTCCAAACCTTACCTCACAGTCGGTGTGGGGGGTGTAAACAGTAGTGTCAGAGCTATGCCGCCCGGAACTTCGTTCCTGGTAGGCCCACCAAAGGCGGACAGGTCTGACACACACGCCGGCTAACAAGGGCTCTGGTGAAAACCAAGGAGCGTCTGTATCGGCAACCGGCGGCTTCTGGTCGTTCCTGTCTCTGCGTCTGTGGGAACCCCGCGGCAAGCAAGAACGTTATCCGAGTAGGCCTGGGTACCCTACTTCTGTAATTTATCGCAAGAATCTTCTGCTCACAACAGGAAGAAGCCGGCTCAATCCGCCCAGGGTGAATGCCGCATCAATACAGTAGTAGTACAGTAAAGCGGGCGACTGAGGTCTGGGCAGCACACGCTCAAATATGGCAACAGTGCTCCATTATTGGCCTGATCTGGATCTTCGCAAAGGTAAAGGTTAGCAGAAAGGGCCAGGTACTTAATGGGTCGATACAGAGCGCTGACCATTTTACCTGCATCCTTAAAATGGATCGTATTCACGATTTCCACTTGAGGTCGGGTGCAAGTTTGAGGCCCAACATTCTTTCGAGGCACAGTGGTGCTTCCCCGAGAAAACCCCAGTTCATCCTGACTAATCGTAGTTCGGGGTCAGATCGGCAATGATAGAATGTAACTAGCTTCGAAGCATTGAATGTAACCAGCCAGTTTTCAACCCCATTGGGTACTTTTCGCAAGATTGGACGAGAGATCAGTCGCCAATAGAAAGATAGATCTGTCTATAACTCTGAGATGAGGTTTTGTAATCATTTACATTATTTACATTGTTGTCCTCATCTTTGTTGCCATATTCACGACGAGAGTTAAGTTAAAGGGAAATAACATTCAGAAGAGTCATGACACGTGGAACTAGAACAATCTACCCCGGTGGACGAAATAAAGAGTTGAGTTCGAAATTCCAATCACCTGAAGAAACCTCCTGATCAGAGGCCTTGCTGTTGAACGTAGTTTATCGCCTTACCCTAGACGCGGATGTAGTTTGTCATCATACCCAGGACGACATTAGCGATGGGTCGTATTTACGCGTTCCACGTCAGGTCGGATGTGAGTTTCAAGACCAGCAGTCTTTTGAGGCACAGTTCTTCCCCGAGAAAACCTCTGCTCATCATGAATGTAACTAGCTTGGTCTTCGAAGCATTGAATGAAACCTGCCAGTTTTTACCCCATTCGGCAGTCCGTAGAGATGATCTGTCACCCACCTCTGACCATCAATTCAGAGGTGCGCCTCTATATGTTCGCATCATCGGCGTAGATTTCAGACAGACGCAAAATATCAGTGACGCTTCCGTGGGAAGTAGGTGTCTCTGTCCGAGAACGACGAAGTTATACAACTAGTATAGGCGTCAGGTAAGAAGCTCTTTTTTCAACACTTTCCATTTTTTCCCTTTTTTTTTTTGTCCTGAATTTGTCAATTTTTTCCTGAATTTGTCAATTTGAATTTGTGAATAACAACAGTAATCTGTTTTTGGCCTAATCTGGGCTCTTGTAAAGGCTGAAGATAGCAGGAATCACGTGCTTAGTGAAGCGGTACAGAAAACCAACCATTTTACCTGTATCCTTAGCAATGGATCGTATATACGTGTTTCACTTCAGGTCGGGTGTGAGTTTGAGGCCCAACAGTCTTTCAAGGCACGATGTTTCCCGAGAGGATTTCCGTTTATCAAGATTGGTTGCAGGTCGGGGTCAGATCGGCGATGATGGAATGTAACTAGCTTAGTCTTCGACGCATTGAATGTAACCAGCCAGTTTTTACCCCATTTGTGCAAGATCGGAAGAGAGATCAGTGGTTACTCTCTTTTTAGAGGTGCGCCCGTATATAGTCGTACTACTGGTACAGATGTTTACAAATGATCAGAGTATATTCTTAGGCAGATGATTTACACAGATCAAACGTCCTGGGTAAGACGATAAACTACGTCCAGCAGCAAGATATCTAATCGGGAGGTTTTGAGGTGCGTACCTCTTAATTGCTGATGTTCCCAGGTCCACCCTGACCCGAAAGAGAGAAAAAGAAGAGTAAAGAGGATAAGATAAAGACGTGGATAAGACGGAGGGAAGAAGAAGAAGAAGAAGAAGAAGAAGAAGAAGAAGAAGAAGAAGAAGACGGAGGGGAGAAGAGAGAAATAAAGAGTAAAGTTGATAAGATAAAGAGAAAGAGAAGACGGAAAGAAAAAGAGAAAAAGAAGAGTAAAGAGGATAAGATAAAGACGTGGATAAGACGGAGAGAAGATGAGAGAAAAAGAAGAGTAAAGGAGATAAGGTAGAGAGAAGGAAAAGACGGGGAGAAAAAAAAGAGAAAGAGTAAAAGAGATAAGATGAAGAGAAAGAGAAGACGCAGAGAAGAAGAGGGAAAAAGAAGAGTAAAAGGGATAAGATGAAGACGAGATGAAGAAGGAGGAGTAGGAGGAGGGGAGAGAGAGAAAAAGAAGATGAAGAAGGATGAAAAAAAAGGCGGAAAAAAGGGGCGAAAAAGAGAGAATGGGCGTAAAAGAACTGAAAAAAAAAGAAGAAAAGAACAAAGAAAATTTATTTAAAGCTATAATTGACTTCCTGGTGTTAAAAAAAAATACGATGACCTTTGACACTTCAGTCTAAATATTTTTCGGTTTACGTTGAGTTCCACTTAAATATGACGATAGAAAATGCTTCCTTCTCATTTCGCGTTCCGAGTTCGATCCTGCTTTGTTCTTTTGAAATTGTTGCTATTGCTGATCGTAGGAAGAGTCGGCAATTAAATGAGTAAAAAAAAAAAAAAATCACTATTCTAATGTGTCCAATAATTCTAGAGACATTTTTTTTTTTGACTGGAGTAGATGTTGAGTGAGGACAGCAGGGAATAACTTCTTAATGCAAAGTAATACGCTTCTAAACATCTACTGCTTCTAAAATACACACCTTTTGTATGAACGTCAAGAAAGCGGGGAAATTGGCAAACGAACCAATTATAGGATGTAATTATTTTTTTAACCACCTTCCCTTTCATTTCTATCTTTGATTCCCCCCACTCTCTCTCTCTCTCTCTCTCTCTTGGAAATATTTCTTTCTTTTTTGTTTTCATCCCTTATTTTTGTAATTCTTTTTTCTTCACATTATAATTGGGTCTTTCGTCGTCTTTCTTAGACAAGTCTTTTCTTTTGTTATTTCGTCTTCTTTTCTTTCTTTCTCTTTTTTCTCTTTTTTCTTCTTCTTTCCCCGTTCTTTTTCATCTTCTTTCTCTTAATTCGTTTTCTTACCTATTCTTTTTTTATCTTTTTTTTTTTTTCCTTCGGCGTCTTTATCGTTCGTTTTGTCTTCTTCCTTTTTCCCGGCTTTCTCTTCCTTCGTTGTCTTCCGCTTTTTTTTTCTCTCTTTCTTTTTCCGTCTTTCTTAAACATGCATCTATTTCTCTTTTTTTTTCTTCTTTCGTCTTCTTTCGCTTTCTTTTTCTTCATTTTTCTCGTTCTTTTTCTTCTTCTTTCTCTTCTTTCCTTTTCTTCCGGTTCTTTTTCATCTACGTTCTCTTCTTTCTTTTTTTCCCATTCTTTTTCATCTTCAGTCTCTTCGCTCGTCTTCTGCGCCGTTCTTTTTCTTCATCTTTTTTTTTCTTCGCCGTCTTTGTCGATCGTTTTGTCTCCTTTCTTTCTTTTTTTTTCGTCTTTCTCTTCCTTCTTCGTCCCTCTCTTTCTTTCCCTTGCTTTTCCCATCTTTCCCTTTCTTTGTCGACTTCCTCATTATTTTCCTCTCCTTCCTTTTCATTTCTCCTTCTTTTTCTTCGCCTTCTTTTACTTTCTTCTTCTTTGTTACTTTCTTTTTCTTCGCCCTTTTTGTGTAGAAAATATAAAAAAAAACATGTATAAATAGATCAAGACCAATTATATAAAAGAAAGATGTCTTTGTGGATGAAAAGATAAAAGACTACAGTCTTTGAATGGATGTTGCAAGTTACTCCCTTACGACAACTTCTCACAGTAACACTCTGCATTGAGTGGCTCTGAGGGTTTGTATTGTGTGAACAACCATAAAAAGAAATAATAAGCATGCAAACAAAACATCCAAGTTTCCTCTATCGCACACATTCATCTCAGCTAGGTTAGAATTCTTTCAAAGGCCGTGCATCAATTCTTAGAGACTCATCCAATCTACCAATATCACTTAATGTTGGTTAGGAAACTGACTTCGACCTTTCACCATCAATCTTCGACCGATCTCCGCTATAACAATGACGCCTTCCTGATTCCGCCTCATCGTATGAATGTAATTGAATACATCGACCTTGTTAATGTTGCACACAATCAAGGAAATAATGGAAAAAAAGCAGAAAGCAGAAAAAGAAAAGAGATTGCATATCGCAATTAACGTGTCTGAAGAAACCTCCCCGAGAGAGAAAAGAATCACTGAAAACTTCTTCAAAAGATTTTGCTTATTTACTTCGGTGCTAATCGTAAATTCAACTTTTTCCTGTAGTACAAGAAATCTTATTGACTTATCGTTGGTACATGAGAAAGTCAGCAATATTATTGGTCCTGACTTTTCCTTCTCTCGATACTCTGATCAGTTCGATGCGGTCAAACTAGCAGCTGATCTAAAAACAAAAAAAAAACCCTAAAATTTGTCGTTAACTGGGGCAAGGAATGACATCTTAATCTGAACTCTCTACTAATCACCTGAGAGACCTCATTCTACCTTCCATCAGCATGGCTGAGGCTAACCTTCATGAAAGTCACTCAGTAAGCCTCCTCGGGGTAGAATTCTCGACTGGCATGAAGTGGAAATATTATACTGAATCCATTGCGAGGTCTGCTGCTAGGAAAGTTGGTTCACTGTGTCGTTCTAGACAATTTATCTCTCCAGAATCTTTCTTATATATTTATAAGTCTACCATTCGTTCTGACTTTGAATATTGCTGTCACATACGGCTCCCGCCGTATATTCAGAGATTCTTGATAAAATCCAAAGAACAATCAGCAATATTATTGGTCCTGATCTGGCATCTCATTTCAGTTACTTTCGCACCGCCGTGAAGCAGCTTCCGCTTGATTTTGATATAAAAGCGTTCATGGTATTTTTTCGGATGAGCTCCTCGCTGTGATACCGAGTACTTGATGAATTTAAGCGCAGTACTAGATTGGCGGAGAGGTCTCATGAATTCACAGCTGAACTAGATAGATGTAACCGTAAGTTCGATGCAAACCGTTCCTTTTCTCGCTCATCTCTCTTGTGGAACTTTCTTCGGGCTTTTTCCTTAACCAGCCAACTTTGATCTTCAAAAATTTAAATGCAACTCCAAACGTGTCTTAGTTGTCTTTTAGATTACTCTTTTATTGACCAGTCAATTTTGTGATTATGTAAAACACGCTTAGGTTATCATTCTATCGATATCTATCTGACGAGTCAGATTTTTTTCCCGCAGTAGGTTTTCTGCGGTTGTAGAACTCGGTCTGTTTTACTATTTTCCCATAGCTGGGGGGAGAGGGAGAAGAAGAGGATTCATACCTTTCTCGAGGGTATTAGCACGTCAGTCAGACAGTTATGTGCCATGCGGGATACAAGCTTGGGCGATCATGTATCTTTCGATACATGACTGACGAGGCAGATTTTTTCGCGCAGAAGGTTGTCATTTCTTTCTACGGTAGACCAGTTGCCATTCAAGGCTATAGAACCAGGTTTGTTCTACTATTTTCCTACCTTTCCCAAGGTTATTAGTGCGTAAGTGAATGCAATGGATTCGACTGGAATTCGAACTCGCCTCTCCGATTTCCCAATCCGAACCGCTATACACCGTGCATCCTTAATAATATTTCTCTTCTTATTTTTTCTCACTCAGTAACTTCTTGTGTTTTAGTGGCTTTACTGCCTTGAATGGGGTGAAATGATAAAATCTAACGTGCCTTTGTTCGCCCACCCGGTTCTACGTAGCCTAGAGGTCAAGGCACGTCAGGTCTAATGACGGTCTCCCCAAGTGGACACAGTTTCGAATCCTGTCGGAGGCCGCATATTTTTCGAACAAGATTTCTCGAATACGCAGGCCAACAGATGGAATTAAATAAATGTACTGTTTAATAAGTCATAAAAAAGAGCATTAAAAACAACGTATAAGCAATATATATATATATATATATATATATATATATATATATATATATATATGAAAATTTCTGCGATTTAACCAGTAGAGAAGACAATATTAATGAATAAAAATGACAATAGAAAAACTAATAATTACTGACGCGTTAGCAATTACTAGTTTTCCTATTGTCATTTTTATATATATATATATATATATATATATATATATATATATATATATATATATATATATATATGTGTATGTATGTATGTATGTGGGGAAAATATATTAAAAAGCGTCAAAAAGTTTATTTGTGATGCGTTTCGTCCTTCAGGACTTCATCCGACTAAATTTCTTATGTTGGTACATCTACGCATACACACGAACGAGGGGTGCTGGCGATTATATATATATATATATATATATATATATATATATATATGTTCGAACAAGAGCTTTGTTTTCTGGACAAAAGGTGTGTAAGAACTGTCCAAATTTCGGCTATAACTTTAGCCATTATCAAGGATGATTCGATTTTTCAGTTTAATTGAGTGTGTGCGTTCTGTGTATGTCTTAGTGTGTGGTAGGGACGTTTTTAATTTCCGAATATGGTTTGCACATTGTGGCTTTGTTCGTAGTTAATATTGTTAAGAGTTGGCTTTTTCTTTTTTATTATTAAAGCTTCCATTATTTTTAGTCTCTTTTTGCAGGTGGATGCAGTTAATATATTTGTGTTTTCTACTAGTATGTTCCTAATGGAGTCTGGTAAATTTGTGTGTGTGTTTAAATGTGTTCTAATGGAGCTGTGATCAGATAGGTGTAACGTAAGACGCCTGGATAAGCATGTGGTTGTGTAACCGATGTAATTATTTATGAGTCCGGTTTGATCAGGAACACAGTTCGTTAAGGGGCATTTGAACTCATAGATAATGTTCGTTCTTTGTAATTTTGACTTAGCTGGTGTGTTGTTATTTTTGAGGATATCCTCAAAAATAACAACACACCAACTAAGAGAGCTCAATGTCAAACCAGAGCAATTATTAATTTAATTTAATCAGAAAACAGACAACCTTAAGGGTCTATGGATTATATTTTCTTTTCCCAGGAAGAGGTAACGGTAGAAGGTTACTACTCTAATAAATTAATAATTATTAAACATTTTTCTTCAAATGTATTTCACTAGTCTTCGATTATGTCATTTTAAATAATTTGTTTTAATAAAAATAGATTTAAAATTATTCCTATCTCTCCCTTCCATCTCTAATTACGACCACATCTGTCGTCCTCCTCTTCCCCATCTATCATCTTACACCAACTTAAAACTATCCCTTAATAGTGTATAAAAGTAATACGTAAATTTAAAAAAAATATTTTACGGTTGGAAATGTGATCTGAAGAACCAGGAAAAACACTTTTCTTTGGAAATAAAATATAATCAATCAACACTTAAGGTTGTCTGTTTGCTAATTTTAATTATATAAATAATAATAATAATAATAATAATAATAATAAATAATAATAATAATAATAGACTCTCCCGTCGGTTTCGACGTATGAGGATCTGACAGCTTACTGATTCAGTTATGAAAGTTTTTGCGATAATCTTAATTG